AGGTCTTGGAAATGGTAAAAACCCATTCCATTTCACCTACAAAAATTAATTAGTGATATGTTATTTATACCAATCAAAAACATATTTTGAAATAATGTAATAAAAGTGTGAACTCAGGTGTAGAAAATTTCCAAAGCACCAAAATTTTGGTATCTATTGGCGACCTTTCCATGCATCGAATTTAAAGATATTGGACTCTATACAAATATAGAAGAGTCAAGATTATCCTCAAAAAATAATAAATCTCATACGAGCTACTAAACAGATTTTACACTCGATTTGCGATGCTGTTTTCGAGACCATTCACAAGGCATGGGACCAGTCTGAAGCTAAATTTGGTACCGATCACAGCTCGCGTGACCGGTTTCAAGCCTTCACGGCAGCCTGATCATATACCTCGTACCCGGTCTAGAAGCCCTCGTCCTACATTTAACATAAAAGACAATTTTATCCCTACTTTCCCTAAACCGATTTCTTGGGTCCCAAGACCTATCAATACTATTCTTAAACTAGGTTCTTGACATGCCTCCACTACCCTTGAAGAGCATAGAATTAGCCACAAAAGAAAACACTCTCTTGATTATCAATGAAGCCTTGGAGTTTGCCAGAGAACTTATTTTTTCTCATTCCTTGCGTTAGATTCATAAGGGGAAGTCTTTACATCTTCATATTGGTTTCATTGAAGCAGTCTCTAAACCCTTTTTAGTTGTTATTCCTTTTATTTATATGAATTACTTAACCCTTTCTTTGATGATTACCTAAGTATGCTTGAGTAGTATACTTGTTGGTTTAGAGGGATAATTAAAGGGGGAGATGATCAATTAGTTTAGGCTGCGATTTATAGTCCTTTACACTGTTGTTTTGTTCTAAATTCATCGTTAATCCATGTCAATAGCGTTATGAACTAATTCCTAATTCCATCTATTCTTGTTTCGTCAACCAAGTTGCATATTTACTCGAACCTAGCTTAGAAAAGCATCGTGTCAAAAGAAGCAAATACTATTTACTTATGAAAGTTTAAGGGCAATGACCGAACCTAATCTTATGCTTTGATATATGCATCGTTGCCTACGTAAGTTGAGTAACGAAGTATAAGGATTTTAGATGGTTATTTATATGATTTATAGGTTAATCAATCACCATTGTTTTATAGTCTGAGACTTGGAAGTATGATATCCAACTTTGTAGTATTACAATTTTAACCTAAAACATTGGTTTTGAGGTTTTGAGGTGATATGATGAAAGTGAATTGAATAACCGGTTTTGAGGTTTTATCTAAGGGGAATCTGCACAAAGATAAGAGACTCAACAAATCAATCAATAACGAAAATGTTTTCGAAGAACAAACTAATGTTATGACTTAGAAGGTGCGTTAGTCAAAAGAACAAAGATTATGAGCTTTCATAGGCTCAAAATAAAGTTCCTTTCACAATCAGAAAATAACATTTATGGAAAGAAATCTTTGTTTTAGATGGTGATGTGTCCTCGGATATGGAACCTAGAGCCTTGTAAGGTGTAATGCAAGTAAGAAGGAAAATTTCTAGATGATTATAGTTAGGCATGTCAATTAGGGCTAAAGCCCGCGGGCTAGTCCGGCCCGGCCCTAAAAAACATCGGGCTCGGGGTTAAATATATATGTCCAGAAAAAACCGGACCTTTTGGGCTAAGCCCATTCGGGCTAAAGGGTTTTCTGGGCTTAACCCGGTCGGGCTCGGGCTGGTCCGAAAAGCCCTTAAATACATATATTTTTATTTTTGTAAATATTGTAGTTTGAATAGAAGATTTGATTAATGAATTAATTTTTCATATTTACTTACTAGCTTTACTTAATACTTTTAAAATCATTATCTATCATATTTTCTATTATTTATATATGTCAAAACTGAACAAAGCTAAAATATATATAGATATTGACTATATCATCTACTTTAAAGTATTTTAGTTCCATGTTTTATTGGGTTAAAGTGTAAATAATTTATTTAGTCTTCAATTTTTCTCTTAAATTAAGTTAGTTTTAATGAATATTGATAAGTTATTTAAATTTTGATACATTATTTTTTATAGTATACTTTTAAATATTGTTTTTTAAAAACTATTATGAACTTAGAAGTTGATTTTTTATCGTTAGCTAAAGCCCAAAAAAGCCCGAAAAGCCCTGTAGCCCTGTTAGGGCCGAGGCGGGCTTTGAAATATAGGCCCGGATATTTTTCAGGCCGGACCGGGCCGAGCTCAAATATATGAGGGCTTTACGGGTTTTAGGCCGGACCGGGCCGGGCTAGTCCGATTGACATACCTAATTATAGTTGGTCTGAATTTGTGGCTAACAATTTATATTTAATGCATGGAGCCGTTGGAGATTAATATTATTGAATGTTAGTATGTTCGGACAAGGAAACTTTAGATTCTTCTTTTTGTTTTGGTGAGTCTATTCTTTGGTATAGACCTGACGCCTCTAGTCATCCTACATGATTTACAGCTTATGGTATAGCAACTGGAAAAACACGGGTGAGTCGGTTCTTGGATTCATTATATCCGGTTTAAACAGTTACAAGTATCTCCAAAACTGAATCCAACCAGTTTTTTCTTTCCTCGGTCAAATGTCTTATTGTTTGTGGTTTTATGATGAGTTTTTAAGCTGAAGACTAACGTTGATATATGGAACTGAGGTCAATTTGGTCAAGAAATTGGGATCACGGAATGGTCTGGTTTGAGAACTTTGAACATCATCTTGACCAAGTTGAAAAAGAGATGATCTTCCACGATTTAGAGACTTCTTATTGATGGTTTTCGAAGAACTCTCATATATGGTGGAAAATACTCGAGCATAATTGAAGTTCATTAGAAATTGTTTCAGTGAATCCGTCTAGAAGTACATCAGCTAGTCCATAAGCAAGTGTGATATCTGCATCCTTTGGCTCTGAATAAACTTATAAGAACGTTAAGGTTCAGTTTCATTTGATTTCATTAGTAGAGCATATAACGGATTGGTTAGTAAAGCTTATAATACACATGTAATTGTTTTTTGTTGTTTAACTATTTTTTTTTTAACTTTTGTTTCTTGAAATCAAATCATGCATTATAGGACAAACCATGAACATAAAAGGATGCATATACACAAATATAAAACGATTTGGAGAATAATAAAAAGATAATTTTAGTTTTTATGATGTAAACGTTACATTTTCAGGGATGTTCATCAACTAATAAATTAAATGATATTCTTTATTCTTATGTAATATTGATGAGGACATCGAAACCAGCCAAACTGAATCCGAGGAAAAAAGTCATCAATATAATAACCATTGATCAAAAAGCAAGGACAAAGTCATGAACCAAAAACTCATGGGATGTTTTATCAATTTGAATAAAAACGATTTATTCTCTTGTTTTGCAAACTTATGACCGTTGGATTTTTTTTTTCTTTTTTTCAAGTTTGTTGTTTTGCAATATAGCCCTTTAAAATATAAGAAAAAATTGACCTAGAAGATACATTGCTATCGGGCTATATATAAAATCCATTTTTAGCATGAACATTTATTGAAATTAGTCAATAATTATCTTTACATTAATAAGTTTGACATTCTTATAATAATCAAAAGATCCATCGTCTTAGAAAACTTAAAAAAATTGTTTTCTTTCGTTCTTATCTCTTTGATTTCTCTCTCCTCCCCTACCTCCATTGTTGCATCAACCGCACTATTTTATCACCATCACTTGCTTTGATTAAGTCTCTTATCATCGTCCTCTTTTCTTTCCCAATATCTCTTCTCACCATCACCACTCTTTCGATCTAATATTTTATCATCGTCACTCCATCCTAACATCTCTTTTCTCTATCACCACTCGCGATGATTTGCAATGGATCCTACTAGTCACTGCTTATTGATCAGGCCTCTCTCGCTCTAATTGCAGAATATCCTTCTTTGAATTTCGTTGAATTGCATAAAATCTCTCTCTGAATCTTTTCGAATCCCAATCTCTTCTATAATATCTAAATCTAGTTGGATCTCAATCTCTTGAATAATCTAGGATGTCATTCTTTTTAACTTCCATCATTTTTTTTTGTAACATGCTATTTTTCGAATTACATGAGATAGCAATATATCTCTCTTTTTAACATGATATTTTCTCATATTACACATTATTTATTAGGATTACATGCTATGTCTTCAAAATAAACATCCGCTTAATTCTATAAACGCATTACTAATACAAACAACACGGATGTTTTTCAGTATGACGTATTATTTTATTACATAAATTGATATTCACTCAAACTCACCGTATATTTATATTTCCTCAGCACTCATCCCAAAATTCCATTTTTTTTTCATGCTTCGTGTCATTATTATTTATTCAATGTTTTCCTCGAAATTACAATATGCTCCCTTCATTTTTTCTCCATAACTTAGATATGTGCTAATATTATTTTTCAATTAAAAATAGAATTACTTTACTTAGTTTCAGTTTTCAAAAACAGTGTTCTAGAGTTCAAATTCAATAGTTTGTGCAATGAATAAAAATATTGATTAAAATGATTATTTTCTATAAATAGTATAGTTGATTTCATACTTTGACTAAATGTTTTTTTTTCAAACATGACATAAAATCTAAGTCTTTTTACATAAATGTTAAAAAGAATTTTGGTTTGTTTTTTGGTATGAAGTGTTAAGTTTATCATATTATGTTCAAAGTTCAAACTTTTTTTTTGGTATGAGTGTTAAGTTGATTATGTATCTTGTGTTGTATCTTGACCACAACAAGTTCAAAGTTGCAAACATTAATACAAACATTGATGAATACCAAAAATCTAAGAGTTGACTATTTTAATGCAATCTAATCAGCACCACCTTTATTTTGTATATAACCCACATCATGCACTCACAAAAACATATTCTTAAATTAAAAGAAAAAGAAGAAACATAAACTAGTATTACTCTTAATTTTCTGTTCATTATTTTCTTTCTCTAAGTTAATAAAATCATACTTTGCTTCTAAAAATGAGTTCCAAGAAAACAAAAGGAAGGCAAAAGATTAAGATTAAGAAAATTGAGAGAGAAGAGGATAGATTGGTCTCATTGTCGAAGCGAAAAAATAGTATCTACACCAAGCTTTGTGAGCTCTCTGTTCTCTGCGACGTAAATGTTGCGTTTCTTGGGTACACCGGCTCTGGAAAGCCATATACATTTGGCAGTCCATCATTCCAAGCTGTTGCAGAACGGTTTCACAATGGCGAAGCCTCATCGTCCTTTTCTTCATTGCAACGATCGGCTAATACAGACTATAAAGCGAATATTCAACAGCTCTGTGAATTCTACAACAATATGGTGGAAAGGGCTCGTGATGAGGAAGCAAAAGCGACGAAGGCAGCTGTGTCCATGGAGCCGTTGCCAGAAGATACGTGGTGGAAAGTGCCTCTAGAAGAGGTGAAGGATCAAGAAGAGATGAAACAGTTGCTGGCGAAGTTTGAAGGGCTCAATGAGAAGTTGTGTGATGAACTTGCTGCAAGGAGCCAGAAAAAAGATGTTGCATAAAATGACAAATGATATATACCTCATTAGTATATTACTTTTTGTGCTGTAGTATTTTTGTGAGGTTGTATTGTTGCGTTATTGTGTGGTTCTGTTGTTGCGCTGTTCTATTGTTACGTTATCGTTTCTTTTATGAATTCAAATTATTTATCTTGTTGTGTTGCTTTTCCTCTTAGTTTCATGAATTTTTAATGTTTTCTAATTCATTCAGTATAATGGATTAAAAAATAAATTAAATGTAATTGGGAAACTTGGTCAAAAACGAGGATTCCTACTATCTCAATTAATATCTAAATACAAAAAATTTCTTAACATCTCTTATATATTAATAGAGAAACAAACTCTCATGTCTAATCAACAAAGATGTCAACTAATTTGTTGCTCTTAGAGAGTTTTTTTTTTTGGGTGACTGAAAGGGAATAATTGTAATGCCCATGAACCAGTTTGGTTATGGTGTCGATCAACACCCTTCACTCGTGTCGATCGACACCCTAAATTTTTTGGTTTTTTTTTGTTTTTTTTGGTTTGTTATAATTGCCAAATTGATTTAGGTTGGTTTTGTTGAACCCTAGGGCTCGTGTTTAAAAGAAAAAACTCGACCCTAAGTATTCATTAGCCGCTTTTTGTCTTGTTCTATAGAGTGAAAAGTTCGTAAAGGTTTTTGTGAGGTTTTCTGGAGAGTTTGGGTATTGTTCTTGGTGATGTTCTCTATGTTTTCGTCCCTATTCTTTCTGATCTAAAGGTTAGTGAATGACCAAGGCTTATCTTAGCAGTTTGATCATTTTTTGGGCGATTTCATGATCTTTTGATTGATTCATTTGCTTGTTTGGTTATTTCTATGAGTTGGAGTCTCTGTGCAATCCTTGGAGAGTCATCATCGTCCCTGGAGTTCCTAGAAGTGGAGATCCAGTGAGGAAAAGTACCTGGAGCGACCTCAGGGCATCAGTGTCGATCGACACCAGTGAATTGTATCGCAAGGATGGTCTCGAGTGACGATCGACACCAACCCTCAGCAGCGGCTGAGTTTGTTGATTCTTGTTAATTCTGTTGTGTCATTATCTGCAATGTGATTTATACTGCTTGTGTGTATAGTCAGTGGTTGGGATGAGTGTCTCACTAAGTATTTCTAGCAACTTATGCATATTTTTTTGTGATGTAGGTAAAAACAAAGTGTGACCGTGGATTCAAGGTGAGAGGAGAGGAGAATGATCTAGGGGCTCGTTGAATGCTTTATGCCTTTGTTATGATGTTGTTAGGTTTTTAGTTTTGGGAACTTAGTAGCATGTTAGGATTGCTGGAACAATTGAATAATTGCTGGTTTAATGAATTTGGTTTAATCTGAATTGTGTGGTTTAATCTGAATAGGTAGGTTTAATTTGATTTACTTGGTTTAATTGCATTAGTCGGTTTAATATGGTTTGCTTGGTTTAATTGGAATTGGTTGGGTTAATCCGGTTTAGTCTAATTAAATTGTAAAAAAAAATGGAGTCGGGTGGTTTCAATAATCCTCCATAATTTATTTATTAAAACAACAATTTAGGTTTCAATAATCCTCCATGATTTCAAGGCTAAAAGATCAATTATCAAGTAATTTAGGGATAAAGAAGGTTTTATAGGTTTTAAGGCAAAATGGACAAAAAGACGAGGGAAACTCGTTGTAGAACATTTCCAAAGCACTAGCCCTGGGCAAAAAGCCCGTATCCGAAGCCCAAACCCGAACCCGGCCCAATAGGACCGTACTGAACCCGAACCTGATTAAAGGAGATACCCGATCGAGTTTTGTTTTTGAATTCCGGGTTTGGTGCGGGTTCGAGTAAACCCGAAGATCCGAACAATACCCAAAAACCCGATTTTATTCCCAAAACCCGATTTCATTCCCACTGGATTCACCATATATGCAAATACGATTTTGGATTTGGGTCTTCGTCTAGATGATGATGCAAAGGAGATGAATTCAAAGAATAAGTATCGTCTTCATCAGAATTCGAATCGAACTCGAGATGACCCGACCCAGAAGAACCCATCTTGGGTTTAGCTTTCTTGGGTGAATCCGAATCGTCATCGTCATCTTCAACTTCACGACGGTGGTGATTGATGAATTTGTGAAGATGTTGAGCTATTCCTTTGAACCAATCCCATCACAAAGTAACTTCTCACACTCGCTTGTGACTCTTCCTCCTCCTTGTTGGACCAATACAGCTCACAGACATGGCGTCAAGGTCAGTCAATGTGTTGACTTTTCAAAAGTCTGGTTCATAGTTGAAGTAACTAAATTTTCGATCTTTGACTGTATAGTAAACCCAATTGCAAGTTGTTGACAAAATTGAACTTTGATTAGACTAAAAAATGGTGGGGATATTAGAATACAATCCCACATCGGTTGGGATTGTGTTCCTTGGGTAATATATATGTGATGTGGCAACCCTTCTCCCTTGAGCTAGCTTTTGGGATTAGTTAGGCCACATTGCTAATATATATTACCCAATGAACACAATCCCAACCGATGTGGGATTGTATTCTAATAGGGGAGTTTGTTTGTCTTGGTCAGAGATATGCAATCATGGTTTTTCAAGGAAAATATTCATTTTCTTGTCTGTGTTTCTGTTATGGTCATCTGAAGGTATTGGGGACTTTCATCATAGAATGGGACGAAGATAAAGCTACCTGCGCAGATGTATGCAGAGCATTTGGCAGAACTTGCTGCTGCTCTTGGATGGTTGGTGAGTTTTTTTGTTGTATACAGCTTTGTTTGTTCTATACTTCTATTATGGTGAATGATTGAAACCAATGTGAAGCAGCATCTGGAAACCCTTTGCTAAAGTGGAAACAACTATCTGGTGAAGTTGATTATTCGCCTACTAAGTTGACCTTGATAAATTGTTTACTTGCAGATAAATATTGAGAATGTAATAGATGAAGTTTAGATTCCAAATTTAGTGGTTTTTGTAACCCATCTAACAAAAGTTATGCATTCATCATCTATTTGGATGATGATTTTGGTGAGATTACATTATAATTTCTGTTTTTTGTTTAAGTTTGTATTGGTTACTACAGTTATTAAGAACCCGAAAAAAAACCGAACCCGAACCCAACAAAGCCCGAACCGAACCCGAGCCCGCCCGAAGGTATATATATACCCAAATGGGCTTTAGAGATCTAAACCCGAAAAGCCGAAAAGCCTGGCCCGAGCCCGAACAGTCCCCCTAACGCCCAGGGCTATAAAGCACCAAAAGTTTGGCATCTGTTAGAGACCTTTCCGTGCATCGAATTTAAATATCTCGGACTCTATACAAATATAGAACAGTCAAGATTATCTCCAAAAAAAGAATAAATCTCATACGAGCAACTAACAGATTTTACACTCGATTGGCGATGCTGTTTTCGCGACCATTCACATGGCATGGGACCAATCTGAAGCTGAAATTGGTATCGATCATAGCTCATGTAACAGGTTTCAAGCCTTCACGACAGCATGATCATATACCTCGTACTCGGTCTAGAAGCCCTTGTCCTGCATTTAACATAAAAGAAAATTTTATCCCTAAATTTCCTAAATTAGCTTGGAAAAGCATCGTCTCATAAGAGGAAAATACTATTTACTTATGGAACTTTAAGGGTATTAATCGAACCTAACCTAATGCTTTGATATATGCGTCGTTTCCTACGTAAGTTGAGTAACGAACTATAAGGATTTTAGATGGTTAATTATTTGATTTATAGCTTAATCAATAACTAGTATTTTGTAGTCTGAGACTTGGAAGTATGATATCCATATTTTTAGTATTGCAATTTTAACCCATAACTAGATGACTTGGATTTATATATGAAGCACTTGCGAAGTCACCGATGTTATTTCTCATTGCCATGCATTCGAGATTTTCTTGTTGCGTATCAAATTAAAATTTTATCAAATTAAACATAAGTTGGAGCAAATACTTCAACAACAAAAAAAAATACACAAGCTACAAATTAAATTTCACTAATTAGTTCAGTATTTGGTCCACTCTTGAGATCAAAATGGAACATTACTACACAAGCTATAACGTTGTTATGATTCCACTATGGTATTATTTTCTTAGGCATTTGAGATTTTTTTCCCCGGCTTTCAACTAGTTTTTTCTTTCCTCGGTCAAATGTCTTATTGTTTGTGGTTTTATGATGAGTTTTTAAGCTGAAGACTAACGTTGATATATGGAACTGAGGTCAATTTGGTCAAGAAATTGGGATCACGGAATGGTCTGGTTTGAGAACTTTGAACATCATCTTGACCAAGTTGAAAAAGAGATGATCTTCCACGATTTAGAGACTTCTTATTGATGGTTTTCGAAGAACTCTCATATATGGTGGAAAATACTCGAGCATAATTGAAGTTCATTAGAAATTGTTTCAGTGAATCCGTCTAGAAGTACATCAGCTAGTCCATAAGCAAGTGTGATATCTGCATCCTTTGGCTCTGAATAAACTTATAAGAACGTTAAGGTTCAGTTTCATTTGATTTCATTAGTAGAGCATATAGCAGATTGGTTTGTAAAGCTTATAATACACATGTAATTTTTTTTTGTTGTTTAACTAATTGTTTTAACTTTTTTTTCTTGAAATCAAATCATGCATTATAAGATGAACATAAAAAGATGCATATATACAAATATAAAACAATTTGGAGAATAATAATAAACTAATTTTAGTTTTTATGATGTAAATGTTACATTTTCAAGGATTTTCATCAACTAATACATAAAAATGACATAAATCATGAATATATATTCTTTATTCTTATGTAATGCTCCCTCTGTTTCATTATAAGTGATGTTTTAGCCAATTTTTTTTTTTTTCATTATAAGTGATGTTTTCAATTTTCTATGCAAAAAATTAATGTATTTAATATTTTTTGACCAATTATATTTTACATCATATTTTCTTATTGGTTGAATTCATATTAGTTAATGATGTTTTTATGGGAAATGGATAAGTTATATGTTTTATTATTTAGTGTGCCAAAACCT